CACTGGCTTCTTACTTGTGAACTTCTGCCATGGTAGGATATGTACATGGCATTTTTAGAAGAACAACTGTTTTGCGGCTGCTTGCAAATGTTCTCGAACACCTGGAATATTAAAATGTACATCACGAAAATCCACGGTTTTTTCCATCACGCTATTGACACTTGTCACAAGAGGAAGGAATGAGTCGGCTGAAATCAAAAGACACTCTTTTTCAACTCGATTGTTATCACTATAATATGCAATCCCCATGTTGTTGAGAACCTGATTCTGGTCGGCGATCGATGTCAATAAGAAGGATACAAACGTGCTTATAAGTGTGTAAGGTAAATGCAGTTGTATGAACTTCGGAGATCGCTGATGTACTACCGCAGTGAAGGATAATCAGTGGACATCCCTTCCAGTGGGAGGAGGTGGTTAGTGAGAAGGGAAGACTGCCGCGCTCAGGTCCAGGGTCTATCCGAGACAAATTTCGTACAGTCTAAGTAATGCTTCATCCTTTACCCACCTAATGATTGCCTTACAGACCTTGGACGAGCGGAAGAAAAGCCAGGAAAGTTTGGTAATCATACCATCATTGAAGGCATGCTAGGATCACATTGGTGCGACTCTTGTACACGAATGCGAATGTAATCATGCGAAGTGTGCCGGCAGTAAAGGAAAAAGAAAGAATCCATCAAAAATGCTTAGGGTAAAGGTAGCGGTTACGATAAATTCGAGAAGGGTTTATGTGACGTGGTGGTGTTCAATGGTACCCCAGCAGCGAAAAAAAAGCAGAAAAATCCGTCAAGAAAACACAAAACGGGACCCTCTTTTTTGGCCATTGGTTTCAACTCGTGAACAGGTAACAGCTAAGAAAGAGGACGTATGAACGAGTTCACCGCAACGAATTTGATGGAACCATGCCAAAGTACGCTTTAATCGAGATACTCCATTTGCGCCGCTGCTGGTCACGCAGCTCGTCCAAATCAACAAGTCAACTTGTGGGCGTAACGCTGCTGGGGGCGGAGTGCTGCGGAGGTCCTGCTCAGCAACCACAGCACCTTTCGCCGCCGTGGAAGCGCCACACATTGCTTCCTTGGCAGCCAAGTAATTGCTCCGTGTGGCGCAGGTTCTCCCCCGATGCAAAAATTCCTTATCGTAATCGCTTCCTTTACCCCATTGCGTACCGCGGCGTTTTTTGGCGGGCTGGCGCGTGTGGCCGGCGCCTATTTAGACCCCCGCCGCATGCTGCGCGATCCTAATAAAACTTTCTTTTAAATTACAAACACCTATTATATTTATTTTTGTGCAGTGAGAATTAGTTATTATTGCATGATGTAGGGAGTAGGGTAACCGAAAATGCGACAGAATTGAAAAAAGAGTTTTGAAGAATATAACAAGTGGAAAAAGAGCTGAAAGTGATTGAAACGTAGTAGCTTTAATTGTTTTATATGCTCGAAGTTGTCGCTTAGCCGTTCCTTCACTTTTACTACAATTTAGCGAAAAAATTGAGAGAGTGCAACTGGAGTTTTTCACAACAAATACCAGTAATTCAGGAATTCCTTCTCATTGCGCAGTCCCACGTCTGTATGTTATTCTCCGGATTCAGTTTATCATTACTATTAGATTAGAGCACGAGAAAATGTACGAAAATATCCTTCAAAAACCCAAAGGCCACACGGAGGCAAATCAGAGTGCTGCACCATGTGCAGCACGCGGCGTACCCTTGGGTTAGAGGCTCTCTCACCTTCCTAATCGGCTGTGCTAAGGGAATGAGAGACTAAGCGCGGAGAGGAGAGTATGGAGGCGAGAGAGCGCTACAGATGAGAGATCGCCAGACAACAGCCTGATAAGAGAAAAAAAGTCTGCAGCTTGGGCAGCTTACTTTGCAAGGCCCAAGCGCTCTTATCGGTTGGTTTCCGTGCACGAGAACGCCACATTTGTGATTGTCCTCTAGGGGTCTATACTACAGACCGAAAGAAGCGTTCACACGACCTCTGCCTGGGTTGTGCCTTTACAGTTGTGGCTTATTCCGGACAGAGCAGTCACTTTGCGATGATCTTTTTCAGCGTAACTCACGTGTTTCAAAGAGTTTGCCTATGTAGGAGATGCATGTAGCGGACACAAATCCGCGCTTTAGGTAGCAGTGGATGATACTCCAAAATGGGATTCGATGTCCCGTGGCGATAAATTTGTGCATTGGGTAGATTTGGGCCACTTCTTGGCTTCAATGTAGCGCTAGCCATGATTATATAATACATGAGATTTTGAGAGTTGGCGCCATTTGACATCAACCCGTAGGCGCTAACACAAAATTTAGTCGCCACTGGAGATCAAACCACTAACAGGATTTTACACCTCTTTTTTGTAACGGTAAAATCGTTCATAAAAAAATGAAACATGGTTTTGTGTTTTCTACAAACGTAGACAATATGCAGGAAACCGTTTTCTACTTCGTGTATATCCTCGAAGATCAATCAACTAGAATTCTCCAGAACGCACCTGATACTGCTCATCCAGAAAATCGAATTTCTGCCCTCGTTCGTCATAGATCACTAGAAAGCACTCGGAATATATTTCACTGTAGATTGCAAAGTCACAATGTGCGCACATCGAAAGGCACTGAAATCAGGAAATACTCGATGATCCCGAAAAAGCCTCTTGATCGAAGCTCACTTGGCCGGATCCACCGGTGGCGTTTACGATTCGAGCATCTCCACGTATAAGAGTTTGATCCCATGGAATTTGATGAAACGAATGCGAACATTGCTCCCTTTCTAAAAACGAGTATATGAAACCCGGCTATAGATCTCATAAAAGGCGATAGGAAATCATTGCAGATTTTCTGATTTAGATTTTTCTCTCCCTTTCGGTTTTCGTCTTTCTCCTAAGGAAGTTTCGTTCGTGTGGTTTTTAGGATTTAGCAAATAGCCAATTTATCGGATAGCCGTCTTCGCAAAGGTAGCGATCGCAATTCATAGAAATACCACTTGAGCCTAACGCCAGTGTTCTTGGGCGACGGTGCCTTGTTGACTAAACGCCCTCTGCAATGCCTCACTGGCTATGACCTAAATTTTAAGTAAACATCACCTACATACTTCTTGTGAGAACGATTGAATGATTCGATTCACTTCTCCTTGGAGATTGATTGAATGATTAGGGGCAAAAAGTCAGGCTTAAGTAAAGCAGGACAAAAGACTTGATAATTTGAATAATGAAAATGTGCTTCATTTCACGGCCTATTGTAGATTTCTAGAGCTTACACTACGAGGTGATGATCAAGTATGAACTAGGATTTAAAGGCAGTGATTACAATAGGGTCAAGGTGGTGCTCAGTGGTGCGCCAGTAGCGGAAAAAAGGGGAAATCCGTCAAGAAAACGCAAAACGGGACCCCTTTTTTGGCCGTTGGTTTTCTCATGAACAGGTAACAGCTCAGAAAGCGGACGTATGAACGAGTTCATCGCAACGCGTTTGGTGGACAGCATGCCAATCCATGCTAGTCGAGTTGCTCCAGTTGTGCCGCTGCTGGCAACGCAGCTCGTCCAAATCACCAACTAAACGCTTTTGGGGGCGGAGTGCTTTCGAAGTCCTGCTCAGCAACCAGCGAACCTTCGTCGTGAAAGCGCTACACCTCGCTTCCCTGGCAGCCAAGTAACTGATTCGTGTGGTGTATGCTTCCGCGATGCGCTCCCACTTTATCGTAATCGCTGCCTTTAATGATGGAGCAGAGCTCATCTTATCACATGTACTGCGTATGGTGGAGGTGGGGTTAACTGGCGAGGGGGGGGGTGTATTATAACCATTCTAAGAATGAAATCTGTGTTCAGTCTGTTGATTTCCACTCAGGTCTTCCGTCTTTTATGGAACGCTTTGAATACAAGCTCAGTTTCCTCTACTAGCTTGAGATTCTGAAAAAACGGTAGGGTAATAGGGGAGCGGTAAAGTGGTTAGGGTCACAGCTTCTCATAGAAAGAGTGAGGAGCGATAGGATTTCAAAGGTCACAGTCCTCATAGAAGCGGTGAGAGGGTCAAATGCCTGGCGGATTCGACCGACCGAGCTGGTACAGCCTGAATACTTCAGGAAGCAAAGCGGTTGTGAGGTCCAGTGGATCAGTCGGACTGATGAGCATAAATGCCATTAAAGCTGAGATTTGGACGTCAAGATGAGTGAATGCATCGAAGGGATGATTCTTTATTTCTCGACTTTTACAGAGTGTTACAGTAGCAGTGGGTCCTCTGTGGTAACATTATTTATATCTATTT